TATATATATATATATAATTATAAAATGGCAACAGAGAACATATTGCATTTAATGCACATTTTATATTTTCTTAGTCGTTTTGTATTAAGTTTATAAAGGACCAATATCGATACATATCAATCACTGTAAATAGATAGTGTTGCTAACAACACTTTTTCTTGTTTTGTACATATTGCTTATTTAAGTTAAGTTTTTTCTTTTATTTGTTTTTAATACGTTTGCGAATTATAGCGTCACGATTTTTTTACATATTTTAGGCTTGGGACAATCGTGTAACGTTTTTCCTTTTCGTAAGTCTTTTTTGCGCTTTATCTATCAGTATTAGATATATATTGTATTTCGCCTGTACTTATATTATTAGTCATAAAAAATGATTTACATGATTTTTACCTCAATGTTTAAAATCTTTCTTTAATGATAACGTGTGCATTATTTTTCTTTTGGAATATGTAAATACAACAAGTTAAAAAAAATTGTCAGCTTCCTCCTAGCGTTTTTTTATTTTACTTGATAAATAATCACATATGTGAACGTTCAATATATTTTTACATAATTACAACTTAACTTTTAACACATATTTCACTGTACAGTACAGAAATTTATTTTACATCGTATAATTGAAATAACATATTTTGTACATTGTACGTGTGACAATAATTTAAATTTTAGTTTTATGTACTATTTGTCATCATGAGAGCTTTTAGAAGGCAAGTTTAAGCGATCTATAAACGATTACTTCAAATTCTAAATGAGCGTTCAGTTAGTCTTGATCGAAACAAGCTGAAATTTCTTCTAATCAAGATTGGCTAATCATAATAATTACTACATTTCATAGAGCGATTTTCTTCAAATAAGAAAAAATACATCTCTTTTAAAGTCGAAACGAGCTCACTTCACTTAGCAATCTCGAATTTTTCGAGAATGACTTTTTTGACACTGTTTCTACTTCAGATTCCAAAATCTTCGTTGCATTTTTCTTTCCTCGATCCTGATCCGCTTCTTCTTCTTCTTCCACTTCCTTTCCAATATCCTCATTTAAAACGTAATATTTTTCCGATTCTTCGCATGGTATCGAACTTTCCGTTTGTGTACATACGAATGTTGCCTATAAATAAATCAGAATATTGTACTGTCTCTATTTAAAACAACAAATAAATTGTTTTTGATATCAGAATGAAAATATTTCTTAATTTTTTCTTGTTTTGAAAATATGTCGAAACGCAAAATCAAATTTTATTCCACAATAAAATGATATCGTGATTTATAACCAAGCATTAATGGTATTGGTATTTAAACATGACAATTACTTTATTTCTATATATACATTGTCGCAAATAATTATCATCCTATTATAATTCAATAGTTTATTTAGGGGTGATAATTATTTGCGAGCACTGAGGAAGACTTTGAATGCCTTCCAACAAGAGACACGGTGCATCATTATATTCTTGTTGTTCGCCAATGTTAAATAAGGATGAAATGATCACTGTGTTGTACTGAGTGTTGGAAGACACCCTTTGTAAGTCGAAACGTTTGCGACAATACTATATTAGTTTACTTGGTTGAAAACTGTCTCGCCGGGGCAAATGAAGCTCCATCTAATTGACCCTCTCGTTTGCGGCATACACACGTGAAACACTTGGCACTCGTTCTCCATGTCGGCATAATAACCATAAATTCTATCCTGGCATGAAAAGGTGTCAACGATGTTCTCGCGAATGAGCGTTGCGTTGTCGGGAAGCAGCAAGCCACCAGTTTTAGGTTGCTAGAAAAGTTTATTGCAAAGTTCGATTATCGTAAATCACGTATGCGATAATCCGTGAAGAATTTGTTGGTGAAGAGAAATACAAAAATATCAATATTTCTAAAAACCTTAAATACTGGAGTAGGCCTCTTGGATTTCGGCTGCTGAGGCAAACTAAGAGCTATCGCGAGAAGACCGAGAAGCAATACGGCAAAAAGCTTTTCCCGTGTCATGATTTTAGTGAGATGATTTTATTATCGCGGTATTTTCTTGTGTTATATCTTCAAGTGCTGGTGGTCCCTTATCACTACCGTTGGCTCCTCGATATTTTATTGTAGTTCTATGTTCGAGAATCTTGAGAAGACTGATGATGTGATTCGCAGAAGGGTGTTATATAGTGAACTCTGCGTAAAGATCTTGAATATTGTATGAATGGTCGATTCTTGGTATATTGAAATCAGTAAATCCATCACGTTTGGTCTGCCAATGACCATCGTCAGACGTCCACATCATCCTCGAAGGCCCGATGCAAATGCCGCAAATGCTTTCGGCTTGATGATGTGCTCATTTGGCAATTTTTATTTATATTAACAGCGAAAAGAAGTGGCATGGTCAACGATTTTTTTTGCATAAAAAATCACGTACATGATAATACTTAAAAGAATTTTTTTTAATTTATTGGTTTTTTCGCTCATTTTCAATCTGCTGTTAACTTAACTGAATACAGTATTAAATTTTTGAGTAGGATTTACCAATGCAGTGATTATAAATAATTCCGTGCAATTGTTTTCGAATTTTTTAAAAATAATTGTGCATTAAGTATATTAAAAAATAATTATGTTTAATTATGAAACACGATGATGTTTGCAAAACATTTGCATAACAATGACAATTGTTAGTTTATCAAGACATTAACAGTCAGAGCGATCCTTCTATTGAGAAAGGATTATTTTAAAAAAATCTTCAAGTATGTTGAATCATCTATGAGGATTCTAAAGAAACAGATGGCACTTCGAAGGTCGGATATAAATTACATGTCATGCGAATAAACGTGCCGAAATTCTTATGTGGCGATTCAAATTTCTGTCAAACTCTTCTGTCAACCTCATGGATTTACTTTCTATACCGTCACCTATTTTACCCCCAAACATGACACATTAGTCCCATTCCGCGATTGGCTGCGTTCCAATCGAAGACGGGACGTTTTTCTCATGAATTTAGCCGTCAAAATTCGAGGGCAGTCCCAGCCGGACCATATCTTCGTTAAGGCCGCATCGCGAACGGCATTTTTTCGGGATATGAATACTTAATAGTATCAATGAGAAAATGTATCTCATTACAAAATCGCTGCTTTTGGTTATCGATAATGTGAAAAGATACTCTTACGTATACAGAAAGAAAAATTTTGCTGAAGCATCTAAAAATTTAGATCTTATTAGAAAATAATTTTATAGATATTAATCTATTAAACTACCAAAATAATTATATAAGAAATTCAAGCATGACAAGTAATATTGCAAGTATTGACATTCTATATAGCAACCAGTTCGAGTGTCCTATATAATTATTTTGATGGTCCAAACAAAATTATTTTTAAATTTATATCTAGCTAAATTAAATGCTTCAGCAAAACTTTTCTACGTTATATTCTTTCCTAAAAAAAACGTAGCAGTTTCTGAGCAATAATAATTTCTACATGGAAAATATGTGATTTTTATATTTGTAGATATTAATCTATTCAAAATAAATGCAAGTCAAGTAAAGAAAATATGTTATAAATTTTATTATTAAATATAGATATTTTCATAACATCAAATTCATAGGAAAAAACAATAGATTATTTTAAAACAATAGATTATGCATATATATATATATATATATATATGTTTCTGTTCTCCTTCATATCTTTTTTAATTAAATAAATGGATATTTTTATTTCTGCAAACTTATATAAGTTACAGAAAGAGCGTTTCTTTATTTTTTATTTTAGGATTTCTAAAAAAAAATGTCGGATACACGTTTCTTTCATAAGAAACTTCTTCCTGCGGTTCATGGAGTATCGATGAGCCATTGCACAAATCTCGTACGTTTATCATTGAAATGATCAGTAGCAAGGTGAACACCCTGAAAGTATCGCCGCTCCTTAAGGATTCCAGTCGCATTATCCATCGTGCTATGACGAGGAATACAAAGATTTCAGGATGGTCCATCAGTGCGACTGAAGAAGGTCGTGCGATTTGTGAATCGCCAAAGTTTCTCTCTGTAGCAACGTGATGAGTTTTCATTTTCTTTCGTCGATAAACGTAGCATCTGCAATCATGTCTTAAAAGAACACATGTCAGAGAAATCGTATACTCGTACAGTTTATTATCAAAATTTTTTAATACGTACATGTTTCTATAAAATTGCAATTATAAATTATTGTTTTTCACAAAGAATTTTTTTTTATAAATAGAATGTATAATTTTTCTACTATTATTACATATGTATATTTATATTATGAGATAAACATTCAAAGAGAGAATGTTAAACTTAAAGATTTGTTGAGTCACGATACGAGTGATAGTATGTTCTTTTAATTAAAATAGTAGTCAATCCTAAGAAAATCTCTTTGTGGCGAGATAGAACAGGTACTCGTAAGTAACTTTGGTATGACTTAAGACGATTAAAAAGTACTATTTTTATATATGATAATTAGAGGTCAGAGAAATCTTAGATCATCCATCATTAATTAAAGTGAAATTCAAGATGATCGTGTAATATATGCCAACATAGCACGTAATAAATTAAATAAATAAATACTATACAATGTATAAATATCGACGTCATGTCGCAGATATTTTCTGACTTTTGGACTAAAGATTAACTATAAAATAAAAATAAAGAATGATGTAGTGAAACGATAATCATATTGCGATGAAATTTGCGTCATCGTTCGGTTCTTCATTGATCTTTCTCGCGCAAAATGATCATCCTCTCGGTCAAATTTATGCGATTTTGATATCAGTCCATAGGTGCGTAAGAGCGGTACGCGAGTTCATGAGGCGTCTCATTCGATGATCTTCCCCAATAACCGTGATCGTCGTGATCGTAATGATGCTGATGCTGTGCATGCTCGTAGTAGATAACTTTAGAAGGCTTTTTGATCTCTATCCAGAATCTGGCAGCGTTCAGTATCAACGAGATGATGGCGATGATGAAGAATTTGAACTGGAAGTGAGTGCTTATCAGCTGCAGCAACAGGCTGAGTTTCGCTTTTAGCAGCATCACTAATCCCAGAATTTTCTGCAGATGTTTCTTCTTGAACTTCTTCTTACGCGCCTCTTCTAAAAAAAAATTGTACATGTTTCTGTTACAATTTACTGTGACATTAATCTATGCGCAAAAAGGAGTTCTAGAACGCGAGTAGATAATTGCAAGTGAAAGCGAATATCGGAAATAATGCTTTTATGAAAATTTACGATATGGATCGATCTTAATCAAAGCTCTGGCGCAATCTGGCAAACGTACTTCGAGGATCTCCGCGCAGGTTGACCTACAAACCTTAACCTGGAGTATAACCTTTCGTCTCATGCGCCACGTAATCGTCCGCAACCAGTACAACTTTCTTTTAAAAAGAGTCACGTGGATTGCTTTCGCGGCCGAATTTTTTCATAATATGAAAAACATGTCTCTTCCGTTCTCTAATGATCAGGCTAATCTCCGAGTGGATTCTATAGCGAATTGCAAAATTTAATCGATACCTAGTTCCACTTTTCCTCATTGGCGGAATGTTAAATCGATATGAATCGTAGCGAATTAGCGTAATGCTTGTCGAATTATTCAATTTGTTGGCAATTTACGTTGGAAGTACCGTACAGTTTTTTGTACGCTCCAAAAGATAACGAAGATAATATTCCTGGTACTGTTATTGTTCATTAGTATAAATTCTGGTTTTTTTCTCTTTTTTTGCTAAGTTCAATGATTAATATCTTATTAGAACAATCCTGATACAAACGCGACGTTCCGTGTTTTGTTTTACGAATTATATGTTTGCGGAGTACTTATTTCTTTTTCTCTCATATGATTCGCGTTTGTTGATTTTAGCTGGAAAAGATAGCCAAGAAAATGGCGAGTGATGCAATCGGTACCGTTACCGTCGATTTACCTAAGTCGTGACATTAAATTAGCGTAAACTGCTTTACAATGTCGGCGATACGCGCACACGAGCACAATTGCGTGCAAAACATTTAAACAACTCGCTAGTGACCCAGACGGGAACTTTGTGAGTCCTATAAAGTGTTAACTTGCGGTTCGCCTTGTGCTATAATATTTACGTTTGCATTGACGTTCGATGTTTAAACGTTATGCAAATAATGGCGGTAATGTCCGTTCACTTTATGATCGTGATATACGCTTTTCGAATCCACGAAACTTCCTCGCCTTGTCAATGTGATACTTTCCCACATCGATCTAAAATATACATAGTTGAACGTTGTTCATTCATAGATTTCATTCAATACTACTTCCTTTCTTGTTGGCTTCGTTTCCGAGTATCGAACGGTACTTCTGTTTATGAAGTTGTCAGTTGTCTTATAATTAATAACGATATTTAATTAATAGCTAAAGAAAGCAGTAATTTATAATATATTATTTATATAACATTGAGTAATATTGATAATATTGTGATATAAATGTTGATCGTAAATGAAAATCATACGTACCAAAAATTAATTATTGTAGATAAGTTTAATCTAAAAAAAAACTTTTAAAAAATATATGCCAAATGCACAAAAAGGTATTGAATATTATCTACATTTTTCCTAATAAAAAACGAATATGACATAAGTGCAATTAGCTGAGTACTTTATTACAAAAAAAAAATTATTTCTTATACTTTTTATTTTATTTAAATACTGACATGGTTTCGGAAAAACTAGAAAAATAAGATATGTAATAGAGAAGAAAATCGTCACAGTAATTTTCAGTGCACTCTAGATGAACTGACTTCCCGTTGTTACATCTCCAATAAAGGAGGCAGTTACGAGTTTGGAAAGAGTTAACCGACTTTGTCCAACGGTGCTTCTCGGGAAGTGCGAAAGAAGATACGATGTGTATAGACGACCTTACACGCGTTCCACGTGCCGTCTCATCGCGATTAGAAATCTGAATTGCGAAATCGTCGATCTCGATCTATGACAGCTTAATTATACTGACACACAATTCAGTGATGCCTTGTTTATACGAAAGTCAGCAAGGGTTTATATTATTTTAGAAGAATTATACGTCATCAAACATTAGAATATAATTTTGGATAGTATTCTATTAAAAAAACTAAGAAAATTTGAAATAATTGATAGAACGATAAGAAAGTTTAATAATTAAGAAATAAAAAATAATAGAAATAAATTAATATAAAAAACATAATATACTTAATATAAAAGAATCGATAAGGAAGATATTGAAATTATCTCTCTTCTCAACTCAAAGAGAACAAGAAAGTTAAAACGTCATATTGATTGATTATTGAATTCATGTCAACTGACTTTTTGTCATGATCGTTCAATATAACATTATTTTCATTTTCTTGTTTTCCTTGGATTGTGTAATAATATTTCTATTTGATTTCTAATTTTCACCTATATTGTCATTTTGAGCGTCATCCTCCTTGATGATTTCTTCCGCATTATTCTCCTGCAGATCATCAACGACTTCAGCGATGACATTGCCAGCCTGTTCGATCACCGCGCTCATCGGTGGCTCGCTTTTTTTCCCGGTAACTTCCAACTCGATTTGGTCCAGGTCACGGGCTAATCTCGTCCTGAGGCAACTTCTGGCGTTGTTGGTGAATATACACCCCAGGATACCTTCCTCCTTTGGCTTGCTCCTCTTCATTGCCATGCAATGAGCGTTTAAAGCGAGTCCGAGGACCAAGAAAAGAACCAGCGCGATTATCCTCATGGTTGCCTGCCTTTTCCGTTGAATTTGACGATTCTCACTGATCGAAGCGCACCGTTATCACCACGAAAATCGCGTGATAACTTCCCTGACGACTAGGTTCCGTCACCCTCTCGTTTTTTTTTTTCTTTGATCTTGACCGTCAACCGTAGCCTTGGACCGCGTGTCACAGGCTCGAAGTGGTTGTGGAGCGTGCGTGATCGAACATATATGAGACTGGTGTCCCTTCCATTTCAACTTCCGCCAATAGTGGGTTTGGTTTCATGTAAGTCTAGCGGGTACCCCTCTACCGTGGTGGGCTTTTTCGCCACGACGAAACTTACGGTGTCGTCCCATAAAAATTAAGGATCCGTAAATTATCGAATGGAAATTAACTTGATAGAGTAAAATACCTTGACTCTATACAATGATCTATGTCACCAATACATGGAAAATTATTCATGAAGAATCAATGAAATCATGATAAATTTCATTTTCATTATCATATTTCATTATCACATTTCCATTTCTATTCTATTTCTATTTCTCTCTTATTTTTAAATTTTTGTCATTTTTTGAGACCAAAAATGATTATGAACAATGCAAATACATTATTTTTATTAAGTGTTTTTATACATTATTATTAAAAAGTGTTTTCAAAATAGAGGATATATTTTCTTATAATTTTTTATGTCTATTTCTGTCAATGTACCCGGAAAAAAATTTCGTATATAATTGTATAAAAAATTAACATATTTTATATATAATTATATAATTATATGTCCATATATATAACATTTTTATCCGGATAATTTAATTTTAATTTCAGTTTAACTAATTTTATTTTTTTTAGTTCTAAAAATTAAAAAAAAGAATAAGTTTAATTAGACGATCAAAAAACTTGGACAAAATTCGGAATGCGATACATGGCAACGCATTTTTTTTAAAGTCTACGAGCAACTTGGCACACGCGATTAACAGTACATGGACCGACAAAAATTTCACTTACTCGACAGCACATACTAACCCAATTCTTGACTTTTATTATCGTTTCAAGAACAAGGAAGAATCAAATTATAGAGAGAAATAGCTGCTTTTGAAAAATGCTTGAATCTCGTACATGTTCAATATACCTTTGAACATATCTCATATATCAGAATATTCATCGCTCTATATTTTCTTATCGAATTTGGTTTGTTTAATTTAATTGTCTTATATTTAATTATCTCGCTGATACACTGTTTGTTTAAGTCTATTTTGTCTACAAGCCTTTCACTGAAAAAAATTGAACGTTCATTTAACGTTCATTTAATTATCATAAGAATAGTAATTTATTTTTCAGAAATTCAGAGCCTCGCAGTATGCGTTGTGGCAACTCGACTGTCACAACGTGTCTCAATGGCTTTTGCGCTGTTAATTAACACAATCCCGGAACATGTAGAGGCACCGGTTTCGTGAATTATGCATCGATCATTCGGGAATTTTCATCTTACCTTTCACTATGATTACATTCGCCCTTTTCGTAATTTGCTTGCGTCGTTTTTTAATCATCAATTACGTGATGTAATAAGCGTAGTAGTGCGTGAATATTACATTGCATATATGTAAAATTGTGTGTAATCTGTCAGAATGAAACGAAATATGGCTTATCCGCGCAAAGGTCTCTTTAATCAGCCATTTAATATGTTTTTTTTTAGGATTTAAATTTTTTTATACATATACGGAGAAAAAAGTGTATATATCATTTCTGATATGTACACGCGTAATTCGAGAAAAAGGGTAACCATACAAACTGAGTGTAACATGCTTTGTCAGAAATGTCAACCTCATGAGCTATACTATCGTTACCGTTATCTCGTTATTATTTATGTAACAGTTTCATCACAGTTTGCTATCCCTCCGAATATGAATTTCGAGTCATTCTAATAATGATCTCCAAACCATCTGGTTGATGCAAAGTAACAAATACTTGACCAAACGATATACATACCCAGTGAGAAATGACAATGAAATCGATGTCGAATTGACGTCGATTTGATGGTTTCGACATTGAATCAACATCGATTCGATGTTGTCAATTCCATTATCATTTCTTACTAGGTATGTATAAACAATAGTTTTGTTACGTTTATGTGACTATAATAAGTGTTAATTTTTTTTCGTAGAAAATTAAAAAAAGTGTAAATTTAATGATATTCCTAATTACAGACTAGCTTAACCAAGTTTACTACTTTTGTTACATTTTTGCTTGCATACCGTTTTCATTCTTGTTAGAAACTGAAGAATGATTGTACGTACACTTTACGATCTATTTTTAGTGTTCATCGAAGGTTCCAAATAAAAGAAATGAAAGAAATCGCATAAATTTACAAAGATTATATTATTGTAATATTTATTGTGAATTTGTAATATAACATAATCTAAATTATATCTACTTTCGTAAATGGATTACATATAAAAAAAGCCATGTCCAGAAGATAGTTAAAAAATAATGAATAAAATTACATTTTCGAAAATAAATTATTTTATACTATACAGGAAATTATCAGAATATTCATATATATTTTCATCAATAATTATTTTTATCTCAATGAATTATTTATTTTTTGCGTAATAAATTATTTTGTCTCAAGTAACGATAAACCTCAAAAACTGGAAACTTGTGCATTTCTAGATGTGGCTCATACTATTTAAATAAATGTTAGCACATTTATAAGTAATAAATCTTGAGTAAAGTAAAATTGCATTACATATAAAGTTGCGAATTTACGACCAATACCAACGAAACGAATATCCTTTGAGACCGTGTTTCTCATCAGCCGCGTACGCTTGCGGAACGAACGTGATGTTGGGCTGATGCCCGAATTCATTTGATAAATACCTCACCTGTGTGTCGATACCATTTTCATTTGGAGACCGATAGCTACCGTTCTTTCTTCCGCTGCGATAGCCGTCTTCATGATGGCCATGCGATGTTATCGTATAATTGAACTGATAGTACAGATCGTCTGCCATTTTCTCCAGGACTTGATCATTCACGGTAAGTTTATCTTCTTCGGATAGCAATTTTTTCGCAGCTCGCACCATACTTTTTGTGATGTCCTCCTTTTTGATAAACTTATTTTTCTCCTCCGAAAAACTCTTAATAGACGTATTGGCTGTAAAATTGAAGAGTGTAAATTTATACATATAATATTATCTACTTTAACGCTCACAAATTCTTTTTTATTCTTTTTTGTACTACCTGTTAATATCTTCATCATCCGTTTCAATATCGGCTCCATCTTCTTCTGCAGCGGTGATTCCGTGACTGTCTTCACAGGTTTTGGTCGATCGTTTTCTTGCTTTATTGGTATTTTACAGCCACTGCAGGCTTTCATTATGGCTTCGATTAATTTTTTCGCTGCTTCCGGTCTATCCTTGAATATCTCTTGCGCGTCCTTCACTTGTTAAACCAAGATGAAACGTTTAGAGCGGAATGTACATAAAATTTATCTCTTCAATAAGCACTTAACTTACGACTCGTTATTTTTCGATTTCTTTGTTTTGTGATAATAAAATCCCCATTTTTGTCGGTCTTATATCCAGTCTCGTGGTAGACACCATCGGCTGTGATAAAGCCATATTCTCCGGTAATGAGTCCCTCAGCGTCTCAACAAAGAAATACACAAAAACGTCATTAATCTCATTATTTTTCTTTCTAAGAATTCTTTAATTCACTAATTATTTGCAATCATAAGAATCTCGCCTGACACTTTTTTTGATTGGTATACCTTTCTTCTCAAATCTATGTTGAAAATCGACAATGTTGAAAGAGAACTCGTAAGGTCTGATATCGTCCGCGACGGCAAGATGTTGCGCGATTAGATAGCACAGCAGACACAGAAGATCGCATCTCCTCTGCAACTGAAAATCGCGTGTTTTTTTTATTATATGATAACAAGTATTTTCCTTCGCCGGCCTTGGATCCTCACCACGAAGAACGACATCCTGCGAAAATCCCTGCGGCTTCGAGTTCGCACGACTGAATGATGGCAGGAGCGAATTCTCCGAGTATACAGTGGTGATGTAATAAACGAGAAAAATGTTCTCGTCTTCTCCGCGAGTTATCTATGAAACGATCTGACGACGAAGGAGAAGAGGAAAGTGTGAAAGGAACAAGACGAAAAAATCGGGAGGCCTTTTTCTCAGTGAGCTTTCACACATTTTGCAGACTCGACTGGGAGATAATTGCACGGTTATCATTAATGGTCGTGAATTGAGTGGATCGTGGCTATAGATTGCAATCTCCGTTTTAAAATTTCATATTGCTGCCTGTGACATAACATTAAATTTTATGGATGACGTTTTTACTTGAGAAAGTTATAAGAGCTACAAATAGGAAAAATGGTAAATATTTGTCTAGACTTTATGCAAGTTATTTAGTAAACACATAATATATCGTTTTTTATTTTATTTAATATAATTTTTAATTTTCTCACATTCCTTTCCTTTTGTTAATATCTATTAACAAAAAAAATTTAATAAATCTTCTTTAACTTAAGTTAAATTATTATCTAAATTTTATTGACTATTCTGTCAAAATAATTGAAATTTACTGCATAGAATTAATTTAAATTGCTATTGATGAGAGACACTTTTTGAGAGACAGAATAATACTTTTTTTTCTAATGGACGTTAACAGACACGAAGAGACATTTACATTGATCACATAAGCGCGTGTATTTATTAGATGACCTTTCGTTTTATCTTCTCACACATAACGCTGTCAGATCGATGGTTGTTTCTTATAAGAAGCGAATGCTGCTGGGAGTGTTGGACGATGCTAGATATAATAAATTAATGAACGTTCAATGCACATAGATTAGCTAATCGAACACTGCGAATAATGTCAGCAGAATCTTACATTTTTTAACATCATTATGCAAAGTATACGACATATTCTAAGAAAATCTCATTAACATCTGATTTGCTTTGACTAAAATAAATGATTGAGAAAATCGTGAAAGGTTGCTCTGATAAAATATCAACCATTATATTATGGTTGGAGATCTTTTTCTCGTTTTTAATCGCCCAAACGTAAATGGAACATTACGGTAAATTGAGAATCAGGGCCGTTCGCAGGTGCTTCGCGACGATTCGAAATTTGTGCCTCTGAAATTTTGTTTGAATATATGACGC